TCCACTCCAGTATGGACTCCCAAGTTCGGCTTTCAAAATGACGTGAAACAACCCACGTACACCTAGCAAACGATTAAGCTCTGTCGGAATGAAATTTGGGTCCATATTTTTCTGAAGAAAAGAACAATAAGAAATAAGTTAGAATTATTTGGTTATTGATTATAGTGACGATTCAGTAATAAAATAATTAAAGAATATTGCTTTATTTCAAACCTCAAGCATAATTTCCCTAAGCACAAAAGCACTTGCACCCAAAATTTCCTTGCACTCCCTATCCCAAAGGACGAATGAAGCATGACCGGTGGAATCATAGACCCGAACATTGACCTTGAACCTAAGACACAAAGTATTGTTATATTTAAATTTCAGTACTAATTACATCAAAATTTATAAAATTTTAATTATTTTTAAACGATGCTCACCTGTACACTCCATGCAGCATGGTAGTGTTACATCCCGTACACCTGAACTTATCACCATCAGGGACAACCTTTTTGTTGCATTTGGTGCATCCCAAATAGCACCAGTCGCCCAAATCATTTATCGAAGCAATCTTCCTAACAATCCAGTAGGGACCGGGCTATAAAACAACAAACACAAATTTTAAGACTTTTATATAAGACTTTTGAACATTAAATTTAGAATGTTTAACACGTCACCTTTGTAGTGTCCAAGAGTGCTTTGATCGTGGTAGTCTTGATAACACCTTCATCCCCATCAGCTCCAGCGGTTAAAACGATACTTCCAATTGTTCCAACGTCATCCACTTGTAGAGGTAATCTGGATACATAAAGAATTTTAGATGAGGAGGTGTAATCATCATATAAAATTAATTCACTTTTTATACTTTTAAAAATATACCTTGCTCTAAATTCGTTGACCTCTGGAGAGTTACCATCGAAAAGCATCTTCGTAACATGAAACGCAGAAGATACGGTCACAGTACCTATAAACATACGATGTAAATATTATATATATCCATCATTAAAGTATTTAAATCACAAAATAAAAGAAATAATTTACCCATATAACGCCGTGGTTTGCAAAAGCTCAGCAACATGATCACCGGTTCTTGAGCATTTTGGGTTAAACAATCCAAAAAACGATCCACATACTCTCCCCATAGAGTGCATCCCAATCGATTTCCCCTATAGTATCATTTCATTGCTCAAATCTGAATAAATTATATTTCTATTATTGACATTATTCTCATATTTATATGCATACTCATGATCCTCAAGTGTGACTTCCATGAATTTTTGATCTCCGGCTCTAGTAATGTTCGTTTGAACCTTAGTTCGGGCAACAATCTTTCCAATCACGTCTGCATAAATATAGCTCTTAATATAAGGAAGTTGTATGATTGATCTAAAAACTGTTTTTGATATAAAGATGTTGAGACATATTTTATAATACGGGTTATAAATTTTCATATGTATGAAACTGTTTAAAAAACTGAACAAATTTTTGAAGGGCTCAATTTTTTTTTAAAAAAAGTGTGGTGGCAGATTCATATATTGTTTCATTCATACGAATTTTAAAGAAATAAATATGCTTAACCTTTGAAAAAGAAATGAAGAAGTTTTAAAATTTTTCTGTATGAAATAATATCAGTCAAAACTTGATCATTCAAACATGGTTGGCCTTGAAGAACTGGAAATGGTTTTAAATCAAACATGATCCGTGGAAAATCATTCCGATTCAAAGTTTTCACTTCAGTATCTCTGAAAAAACCCAAGAGCTTATCATTTGCGGTTGTTTTCAAACTTTGATAGTTGTCGTGAACATGCACATTTCGAATGGCATAAACACCATCCTCGGTGATTTGGCTTTCAAACTTCTTTTTTTCCGGACGGTTGAGATGTGCATGAATCCTCGTTCCCTNTTGAAGAACTGGAAATGGTTTTAAATCAAACATGATCCGTGGAAAATCATTCCGATTCAAAGTTTTCACTTCAGTATCTCTGAAAAAACCCAAGAGCTTATCATTTGCGGTTGTTTTCAAACTTTGATAGTTGTCGTGAACATGCACATTTCGAATGGCATAAACACCATCCTCGGTGATTTGGCTTTCAAACTTCTTTTTTTCCGGACGGTTGAGATGTGCATGAATCCTCGTTCCCTATAGAAATGGTAGATATTATGAGTATTTGAGTGACACATTTGCAATTTGAGTGATACAATGTAAGTAATGTAATTGATAAAAAAATGAAATAAGTTCGTGAATATAATACATGCTCATCGTGAAAGACGATCTCCATAGAATCTCCGCCTCTAGCCCACCTTGGAACAAAGTAGACACGAATAGCCCTTAACTTGAGGATCCAAGTTGAACGGTTGTTGTCAAGCTCGGAAATCGGAGTAAACATTGTCCTAGAATTTCTTTGAGAATTTTCGGCCATCTCAAGGAAGCAAAAGAACTCAAATATGGTGGAAGAAGGAATTGGTGTTACATTCAAAAGTATTCACGCATAGTGAATATATAATGGCTTTGTGAATCAAGTATTTGGAAGCACATTAAATGCTTAGATTGTGCAAATCTTTTTAAGTTCTTGATTTGATGTAAAGGGTGGCCTAATTGAGATGTATCACGTGGCTCAATAAAGTGATTTGTTTACTTTATTGTGTCTCACACCTAGCATGCATTAGACTCTAAAAATAGTGGCAATAATGGACTTATTTTCGGCCCAATAGTAAGCAGCCCAGCCAGCCCGCACTGTAGCTGCAAAAAGAGCGGGAACACTGTTCACAATGCTCTCTTAGCATTGTATATAGTTAGATTTATATATTATTGGGTCAAAGAGTAACACAACTTAAATAATTTCTTATATATAAGAGTAAAATACTAAAATTTCATAATTGATCTATTATAAGAGGGTGCTTCACTATTTTTAGTTCTCTATTATCAAATATTACTATGGTAGTTCTTCTTTTATCAGTTTTATGAGTATCTTCCAATAAATAGTCTTTTTTTAATCTTTTATCATGTTGGTGTTAATTTGAAGGCTAAAATTAGAATTTCACAATGATAATATATCTATATTGTCATACATAATTCCAAAGGCCGCTCTTGATGCATCGGTTGTGAATTACAGTCGTTTTCTAATACAACCATAACCTACGCAAGTAGTCTTTCATCGGAATACTAGCCCACAATTATATTATTTTTCATGGGCGGAGTTGCCTGAGGTGGGTACACAGGTGACATGGAGAGGGTGATGACGATGAGTGTAGGATAAAGACCGACGCTCGGAGAAGAAAGAGCCGCCGTTAAGGTGTACCCCAAATGTACACCACATACTTTTTTACCATTCATTTTATTTAGTTTTTATTTTTTATTTTATTTTTTTAGAATTTTACATGCCTTATTTTTATTTTTCTAGCATTTTCCAAATGTTAGTAAACACATGTCCTACGCCAATATGAGATGATAATTTAGTGATACAACACGTCAATACCTTCTTTGAAACCTCAAGAGCTATCAGTTATGCAATATGTCCTTTGAATAAACAAAAGAGCAATTCGAACCCGGTACGATCAACCTATAGCTAGGTTGAAATCAAGAACTTATTAAGTCAACCATATATTAGCTCAAAAACTAGAAAGATATAACCAACACTAGTAATATGCCTTGAGCCATCTTAATTTCGAGAAAGTTGGGCAAAAAACTATACCTCGATTGAAACTATTTTAGTACCCAATAGGATAACAGACCGCCTCTCAACTAGTTTTTGGGTAAAGTAGGTTATCAGAAACAGTCGACCGTCGGAAGGTAACGGTCGACCGTCGCTAGCATGATGGCAATAACGGTCGACCGTCATGAGCTATTCCAGCACTGGAAAATCTGAGTTTTAAAGTGTAAAATCCTATTTTATTTTTCTACCTTTATATTATAAATCAGTATGGATATCTTTTTCCAGATAAATATGATGTTTTGATTAATTCAAGAAATTTATTTAATGCATGACGTTAAGCTAGTTGTTAATACTCGATGCTAGACCGCTACTTGTCATTTAAATGTTATGATGATGATTATTGATTGAACCGTAGTTAAATATCTGAGTTAATTATGATTTTAAATAAGTTAGGCTATCTAGAAGACCTCTAAGATAGACCTGATGTGACTAAATTAGTAAGGCCTTGCGGATGTGTATATTTAGTGGCTCGAGTTAAAACGTACATATGAGATCCTCAAACAATTTGGAATATCCCATCTAGGGGTACCACCCACTAGACAATTAGCAGACCGCTGATTAGTTTTCTGAGTGTGACCTATAGACTCATAGAATATAGGTCATCGATTCTTGTGTCTGGCCTTAAACTAGCCATAGTTTAAGAGTTTTGTTATTAAATATAAGTTGGTCTTAGATTAAGAATAGTTTAAGAGTACTATCGATGCTATGAATATTGAATATTTAAACTATATATTATCTGCATGATATCACATACATGATTTGATTGTGAATTGTGATTCTATTTATATGGATGTTTGATGCATTAGATATTCTCACTCAGCTTAATCGTTGGCGTGTGATATGTTTTAATTTATTTGCTACACACATGTAAACATAATAAAGAATAATGTTGTGATGATGATCTTGGAGACAGATGGAGACGAGATGTCAACCCGACGTGTGAATATTTCTAACTGTATAATAAATATCTCAAAAAAGAATTATTTATATATATTTGATGAATGAGATTGAAACATTTTATTTAGAAAAATTACCCTAAATAAGACTAAAACAAAGAAAAAGTATCAAAATAAAACTTTTATGTTTTTATTTCCGAAATAGCAGTTGACACTTGGTAATGTGGAGGTAATGCAGCAATGTACACATGTACCTCACTATACTTTTTGGTAATTTAAATGTACTTTAACTTCTATTTCAAGAATAAATTAAAAAACATAAAAGTCCTATTTTAATATATATTTACTATTTCACTCTTCTCATTTATATTTTTTCATTCAACATTTAATTGTATTAAAAGAATAACATCGGTACACAATGAATGAATGTACAAGTGAAGTAACGACCAACCCAATTAAAGCGGATCTATGTTGATGAGTACCGGGGCACTTGGCGTTAGAAAAAATTGCAATATTTCACTATTTAAAAATTACTAAAACTTTTATTTATTTGTTTAATAAGATAAAATATTTTTGTTATCGCTTGTTTATATAGCATTTGACATAATTTTTAAATATATAAAGTTTATGTTTATTTTAGACCTGTGCAAACAAGGATCGGCTCGTTCGACCCGCCCAACCCGCCCTTTAAAAAGGGCGGATATAGACAACCTTTAATGCCCAAATGGGCAGGCGGCCCAAACCCGAATTGTATATGGGCGAATATACAATTCTGAGATTATTAGCTTGAGGAGCGAGCATCGAATTGGCCGGCCTGGGAAGTGTTTGTATTACTATATGCTACCATACGGGGTATTATGTATGTATACTTAATTGAATCACACTTGAGATGGAAAGTGATGATTTTGCATGGAAAGTAAAAATATATGGAGAATCACATTGAATCAATATTTATCTCTTCACTTAATTGTATCCAAATAATTACTCCGTATATTTTAGCTCTCAATCATCGAGCTAAAATTAAATCAAAATGAGTTGTTCTTCGTGATCTTAAATTCCACGTTTAAGATATGAATCTTGTCACACTTTTCACACTAGGAAGTAGGAAGTGATCTTTTCTTTTCTTTTTTGTTTTTGTAAAAAGTCCAATTTTTTTTTATAAAATCAGCACATACTAAATTTAATAAAATGAGCATGAACTTTAAGACTACTTTAAAATTTGCCAATAAAAATTACATGGTATATTAAATTTGATTGGACAATACTGTGAAAATATTTTACAAGATATATCTAATAAAAATATTATTTTATCAATAGTTAAGATAAAGTTTATTAAATGATGGTCAAAATCAATTTTGACAAAAAATCAAAAGTCAACAATATTTAGGGACCAAAATTCCTTCAGATTTCCCTTTTCAAATCTTACCATTTTAATTTATTTCCTCGTTTAGGTGTAGATTAATTTTGTTCATTATTACTGATTTTATTCACAAAAAAAACAATATAACTCACGGTTTGCTCCTGCTTTCTTTTTTTAAATTGTTACCATTTTTGTTATTTCCTACTTTCATTACTTAATCCAGATGTGAACAAAATT